TGTCCCAAAAATAAATAAACGTTGAAAAAAAAATTTTTATAAAATAAAATAAAAAAAAAAGATATGGAGGCCAGAGGGCTAGAGAGCAAGCAGGAGGCAGCTGAGATGATACCCAGGCAGGAGAGAATGAGCTGGGCTATTGGTATGAGGAGAGACCCATTGGGGCCAAGAGCCATTTGGTATCTGGGCAGGGCTACCCTTAGTGTAGTCCCATTCCCTTCCCCAGGATGGACCCCCAGCACGCAGGTCCCTGACCACTCCCCCCTACCCCCAGTCCCTGTGTGAGGGGGAAGAGGGAAGAGGGCAGCTGGGCCCCAGCCACTTCCTGTTGGGCTTTTGCACTCCCCACAACTTCCTGTGTCTGTAGAGCTGATGCTCCGGAGGCAGACAAAACCCAAGCATCCGGCCTCCCTCCCAGCCTGGGTGGGGGAGCCATGTACCTGGGGCCTCCGGCTCTGGCTCTGGTTCCAGCGGTGGGCTCTTATGCCTCCCCCAGAGGGTCTTGGATAGCCGGAGGCGGCTTGTGCGTGATTCCTTGGGGGGCGCAGAGAGGACACGACGGAACAGCGAGCGAGAGGCTGGCTGACTGTTGACCACGGGCTCCTGGTGGCTTAGCGCCCTCCCCCAGCCTGCAAGTCGGCCCCAGCGGGACCCTCCAGCTACTTTCTCCCCATCACCCCCTGTGTGCCAGCGGTAGGAGGTTAGCAGGGACGAAGCTGCAGGCTGGGTTTGGGAGGCCTTGCACGGTGATGATGGGTCCATGGCAGGGGTTCTCCTGGGGGACAACAGGGTGACAGTTCTGCCCAGTGTGTTCCCACATGCTGTCCTCATCTTGGCCCCCTCCCCACTCTCAGCTCTGCCCCCAGGGAACCCCCTTAGTGGCCACATGCACTCCCTCCCTTACCTTGATTTCCCGACCAGCCCCAAAATCGGCAGCCGTCTGCACCCTGCCTGGCTTCCTCCCGCTGAACGCAACTCCACGTGACCCTGTCTGTCCCACCCCACCCCACAGCCAGGCTGGGAGGGCACAGTGGGGGCAGGATGCAGGACGAGAGGAGGTGAGAGGTGACAGAGTAGGACCCAGAATCTCTCACTGCCTGGGAGGCAGCCTCTCTGAGCCTCAGATGCCTTCTCTGCAAAATGGGTACATACTGACCAAGTGCTGGTGAGAATACGGAGCACCTGGAGGTCTCTGCTGGTCAGAGTGTAGATCAATTCACCTAAGCTGGAAAACTGGCACGATCTACTAACATTGACTATACAGCTCTCCTCTGACCCAGCAGTTGCAGTGGGAGGTATACATCCAAGAGACCGAACTACCAGTGCTGTCTGTAATAGTCCCAAGCTGGAGGCAACTCAAGTGTCCGTCTACTGGAGAAGGAATAAGTTGTGTCTCTTCCCACAGTGGAATACTATGCAGCAACGAAATGAACAAACTGCTGAATGGTTGAACTTGGATGAATCACAAACAGTGAAGAGTAAATACTGTGTAGTTCCTTTGACATAAAGTTGCAAGGGAGGCAAAACTATGTGCAACAAGTCAGGATTTCGGTCTCCTTGGGAAGAGGGTAGTGGAGCATCTGGGAGGTGATTTTTTTTTTTCCCTAATTGAGGTGAAGGTCACATAAGAAATTTAACGTGTCCCATTTCTGGAACTGGGTGCTGGTTACACTGTGTGTGTTTTGTTTGAAAATTTATTGAGCTGTACATTTCGGTGCACTTCCCCGTATCTCTGTTATACCTCGGTGAGTGTTTACTTGTAAAAAGAGGTGAGCAAGTGCTGTTCTGAGAAATAAATGAGTCAGCATGAGAGTCCGTCGAATCCTGGCCCAGGAGTGGGCTCCAGTGCCAGCTGGTCCTCTCACTGTGTGACCTCCAGCAAGTCACTTCCTCTCTGAGCCTCGGTTTCCTTATTTGTACAACAAGACTATAGCATTAGTTACAGAAGGTTCATAACGGGAGCCTTGGCCTATTCATTTATTCAGTAAATGCTTCCTGAATGCCTACGTAATATGTACTAGGTGCGGGAGAAGCCACAGGGAACAAAATGGATTTGGTTCTTGCCCTCTTGGAGCTCACAGTCCCATGAGGAAAACAGATCCTGAATATAAACGCCAGACATTTCTAGCTGGTGGGTAGGAATTGGAGGAAAATAGACTGGAGTAGAGGCTGAGCAGAAGTGAAAAAATCCAGGAGGACCTCCCTGAAGAGGTGACACTTGGGACCCAAGGCATAAGGAGCTGACCATGGGAAGGGCATGCCAGGTAGAAGGAACAGTTTGTGCAAAGGCAAGGGTGACCAGAATCCACAGGATGGGGTGGGTAGGATCACATTCATGGACACGTGGCCTGGGCAGGCGTCCAGGACCCCCACGCATAGAAAGGCTCCAGACTACATTTAATGCTTTGCTGTCACTGTCTTGAAGTTCGTGCTTAAAAAAAATTTTTTTTATTTTTATTTACTTAGAGAGAGAGAGAGAGAGAGAATCCCAAGCAGTCTCCACACTATCAGCACAGAGCCCGTTGCGGGGCTCGAACCCACCAACTGCGAGACCATGACCTGAGCCGAAGCCAAGAGTTGGATGCCCAACCCAATGAGCCACCCAGGCACCCAGAAGTTCCTGCTTTTTGGACAGAGGGCTCTGTATTTTCATTTTGCCCTGTGCCTCACAAATTCTGTAACCCATCCCAAGGTGCAGGATCTTCCATGAGGGCCAAAGACCCTTTTCCTGGAGCTGGACATGTGCACAGAGGTGTATACACCTTAGGTATGTCCACCTCATTCTTACTGCATTCAATCCGGTCACTGTGCACACACTCAGAGTTTCCCCGTGTTCTGATGTGTCCCTGAGTCTTTCCCACTTCACTGAATACTGATCCACTCCCAACTGCCTGCATTTTTGCTGGAGATCTTTCTCTGACGTATGGCGCCCACTCTCCCTCTCTATGCAACAAACAGCCCCAAAGTGCCAGAGAATTAATACCTCCCCAAGATTAGCCGTTAGCCAATGACTATGAGGTCTGGAGAATCAACACCCAGCTCCCTTGCCTCTTGAGTGGGACAACTCTGAGGTCCGTGTCTTGCACTGTCCCCCAGAGGTCCCTGGTGGGATTAAGCTGCATGTCCCCGCAACACCAACTTGCTTGATAATGCACCCTTTCCTGGACGCCTTCCTGCCCCTACCTCTCTTCCTGCATCCCCAACTGATATGTCCTAGGATCACCTTCACCTCCCAAGCAAACTACTTGCATTGGCATTCTTGTCTGTGGCCTGCTTCTAGGCAAACGCAAATTAAAACAATGTGTGTGAACACGGATGATGCACAGACACGGGCTTTCTTTCCACTGTCTCTTTATTGGAGGTCTGAGGCTGGCAGGATCATTGGAGGTGGCTTCCTTCTGGATCTTCTAGAAGCCCTCCTGGCTGTTCTGGGTTTCACATTCTAGAAAATACAGGGCAGTGTGAGGCTTGGGGAGTGGGGGGGCCTGCCCCCATCATGGTGGGACCCTGGATAGGGAAGAGGACAGAAGCCCAAAGAGAGGGGGTGAGTATGATGCAGACTGCGAGCCAGCTTAACGAAATAGGGTAAGGATGAGATTGTGCAGGTGTGAATATAGAGGTGTTTAGGTGATCGAGGTCAGGGGGTAGGTGGGATCATTAGGCCAAGGCTGTGCTGGCTGTACATGGGTTGCTCCAGCATAAGAGCCGTCATCAGGGGTCAAGGAGGCTGGGGCCGAGCAAGCATCCTTAGGGCTGAGATTGGGCAGAGGATGGCAGCACAGTTAGAAGCTGGCTAGAGGTCGTGCAGGCAAAGGGGTTTTCTGTAGAGGGTCACAGGCTAAGTTAGTGTTGTGTAGACCGAGGGCCCTTTGGGTAGGGGATGGG